AATAAACAATGTTGTATATCATAAGTTTCGTAATCTTGTTTATTAGCATATTGTTTTGATTTACATGTTAGTTTAGTGGATAATAAATTTCCAAGTAGGAATGATGACCAGAGAATGGATTATAGGTTTGCTGTACTTGGAGTACCTTCCTTTAAATAAAATCTACCAAATTATGTTGGAAAAAAAAAGCATAATTTACAGTTTTTACAGACTTGTCAGTTTGCACAGATAAAATAAAATGATTTAAAATTAAGTACATACAATTATAGAGCAAATTAATATACATTGTATTCAACAAAAAGCAAATTAAAATTTTCGTTGATATATTTCTTGCAAAAAAATGAAGAAATATTCTTTTTTACTTATGGATTAAGTAAAATTATTATCAGTTAAACTAATTATTTCATACTGTGACAGTTACATATTTAAGTGATAAATTTTATTTATTGGAGTAGAGATAGATTTCAATTGTTCAATGTCATTTAAAGTCAATAATGCTGGTAGTTGATACAACTCTGAAAAGTGATATTTTTTTGCTATTTCTATTAATTGTTTGTCTCCATTATCATCCTCATGTTTTTGATGTAAATTGTTTCTGTTGTTGAATGGAGATGTTTACTTTTTAAGCCTCAACAGATAAATTTTATTTATAATTCTGATATTATATCTTTAAGTTTTATCCATTTTAGTATGACTATAAAGTATTTTTACTCTGGGTAGCTGTGTTTTGTACACATTGTCATGTCTGTAGTGATTGTTGGAGCTGAATAGGTAGGTAGTAGAATAGTCTATCCTATCTTCCTGGTTTAGCTGTGTTTTGTGCACATTGTCATGGCTATGGTGATTGTTGGAGCTGAATAGATAGGTAGCAGAACAATTTATCCTATATTCCTGATTTAGCTGTGTTTGTACACATTGTCATGTCTGTAATGATTGTTAGAACAGAATAGATAAGTAGCAGAACAATCTATCCTATATTCCTGATTTAGCCATGTTTTGTACACATTGTCTTGTCTATAGTGATTGTTAGAGCTGAATAGATAGGTAGCAGAACCTGTTCAGTATTCCTGGATTGAGCTCTGGTTTGTACACATTGTCATGTCTGTAGTTATTGTTACAGCTGTAAAAATAGGTAGTAGAACCTATTCTGATTGCTGGATTGAATTCTGGTTATCTTGTGGAGTTCTGTAATACTGTTTTATAGTCTTGTAATTCTATATATAATTGTTACTATTTTTAGTGAAACATTGCTGCTCACATATTTTAAAGTTTGATATATGGAGTGTGTAGATTACATATGCAAGTTCATAGAGTTATCACCCACTCAGTATTTTATGATTAATTTCATTCCCATCCATATTTAGATATCTCAATTGATTAACAAATAAAAATGGCAAAAAAGCAATACTTTTTCTGAAATTAAAACTTGATTTTTCTATGATTCAAACTGTAACCAATTAGCAGTTTAACTTACACAAATGAATCAAAAAATGATTGGACAATTTGGTTTAAATTGTGGAAAATAATAAATTTCATAAAATTAGTAATGTTTAGTTTTTTTTTTTAATAGTTTTAATTATATTGCTACAAAAAATGACCCATATTATCTAAAGTATTATATCATGAGATTGCTTTGCTTGCAGATATTGAATGTTTGGATAAAGAAAAAAATGTTTGGAGGAAAGTGAGTTTAAACATTCAGGCTCATAAGCTTAAAATTCCTAACAGAAAAAGAACCAAAATACACAGCTTAGTGTCTGTATTTTACAAAACTTCCCCCATTCAGGTGTGAGTTAAACCCATTGATCAGCAATAATGTTTCATTATTTGCAAACCTTTGACCTCAGTTTTATTTTACTACTATTCATTTTTGTTATGATCAATTTATATACATATGTTTATTTCTCATAAAAGATTGAGTTACAGATCTTAGAAAGGAAGAAAAATCTAAAACCCAGCACACTTGAATACTTTGTGAAAATGCTTTCAACTACGTTTAAATTTGAATATTTCCAAATTGTTTCGCAAAAGATGTATAGTTTCTAAAAGTTATATAAAATTGAATATTTTTATTTGAACAGTATTAACGTTTATTTTTTGTTTGGCATGATAAATTTTATTGATCTTTTGGTTTGGTTGTCATTAAAACAAATTCATTAATTTTAAGACTTCCAAGTACATTGCATAATGATATCATTAATCTGGTAACCAGGTGTTTTTGAACATTTGAAAAAAATTCCTTTGTTGTTTTCCTTGACAAAATTCAAGTTCTGGTTAAAAATGTGAATGCTGAAACAGTGCTGCAAAGCGAGCGTGAAAAACGTGATAAAAACAAAGCAGAAGTTGAAAAGAAAAAAGCACAAGACAAACAAAACAAAGAGAAACAAAAACAACAGCAGCAAGAACGGAAAGATAAAGAGAAGAAAAGAACTCAGAAAGGTGAACGCAGGCGGTAGCATTTTGTTTCAAAGTAATTAGGTTTTGAATAATTTGAGATATGATAAATTTCTTGTAGTTATCCTAATTTTATTCAGTTATGTCTACAGTGGAAATTGTTTGTATGGTTTATTTAGTGATTGCCATTTTCATACGTAGAAGTTGCTCTTGCTTTACCTTTCCCAGTTAAAAAGGGAAATTACTAATATCTTTGAACATGCAGTACTACTTATTGAAATCAGGGTTTTCAGTGGTATCTAATGATATGCCCAATTTTTTTTAACACTCAGTGGTATTATATGGCAAAAAAATTTGTTTTCAATAAATACCTTGTTGTACTTAATAGCAGTATTATTCTTTTTTTAAAAACAGTCAGTCAGCTCACATACTAGATTAATTCATCATTTCTTTTTTAAGCAAATACATAATGGTACTTACAAAATTAAATTGTTTTTCTTTTCTTAAAACAAATGCCTAGTGCTTGAAATAAACACCTATCAGTATTTCTAATATTTTTTAATATTATTTAACAAATACCTTAATAAGATCTTATGGCCAGGGCTTCTGATTGGGAAATTAGTGCAAAAAGTAAGTAATAAAACGCTAGTTTTCAGTTCAATCTAAAATTACATATTAAAAATATCAAAATTTTTCTGTCACTGTTTTTATGATAAACCAGGAGTATGGTAATATTTGAACTTCTGAATTTGATTGGCAGGTATTAAATAGTAGTAACAATGTTTAGCTTGAATTTTGTTAATGAAATTTGAAAGTTCAGCTTACAGTGCCTCTGGGGCACACACTTGTGCAATTAGTGAGATCAACACTTCCCTCAGAAAAAGTCTGATGTGTAAAGTTGGTAAAAAGTGAAAAGACACAGTTTTAACTCTCAAATATTCACAAGAAAAATGTTTCTGTACATCTTCCTTCACGATGTACAACTATTATTGTTGCAGAGAGTGATCCACCAAAGTTTTGGTTGAGTAAAATGAAAGACTGAAGAAAGATGTGTTAATAACAAAACTTTTGTTTGCTCTGAAATCCCAGTGATAATAAAAGATGTTTAAAGAGTTGTAACTGGGTATCTTTATTATTTTGTACAGTACTTATAAACATATATGCATATAACTTTAATTTTAGTTTATTGATAAAATATTACTGTTATAATAAAATGTGAAAAAACAAAATATCTTATGCAAATAAATAAGGTATAACATCTTGAATAAGTAATTACACACAATGTGAAGCTTGATCCAGTGCATTAGTCTGGTACTTTGTTTTTCGTAATAAAATACAATATATGTATATTTTAACAAAAAGAAATGAACTTGTGATTGTTTTAATTTCTTAAGTGCATTTTCTATATTTTAAACAGAATATATATCAGTTTTCTCGGCTAACCACATACTATTTTGATTTTAATCCGGTTTTTAAATAACAGTTGGATGATGTTGAATTTTCATATTATTGGAAAATAGTGCAATTTATGGTTCAAAATTAAACATGTAATGTTTTGAACTTTAATTTGATAGAAAGTCAACACAAATGATACTAATATTTAATGTTGATGATAGTAAACAAATAGTTTTTATATTTTTGTAACTGTAATGAAGCAGAAAGCTTTGCATATGTGCAATTTTATATAAGGTGTGTAATCCTGACATATATTACAATTACATCTGAGTTAATTTTAAAATATTTTATGTAGCCAGACATATCATTCTTGGCCCGGCATGGCCAGGTGGTTAGGGCACTCGATTCGCAATCTGAGGGTCGCGGGTTCAATTCCCCATTGCACCAAACATGCTCGCCTTTTCAGCCGTGAGGGCATTATAACGTGTTGGTCAATCCCACTATTCGTTGGTAAAAGAGTAGCCCAAGAGTTGGCGGTGGTGGTGATGACTAGCTGCCTTCCCTCTAGTATTACACTGCTAAATTAGGGACGGCTAGCGCAGATAGCCCTCGTGTAGCTTTGCGCAAAATTCAAAACAAACAAACATATCATTTTGAAACTTGAAGGTTTTTATTGTTGTACAGCATAGAAATGGAAACATTTAGAGTAATTACAGGTTTTCTTATTTCCTGGAGTAAAAAGTGGTTTTGAAGAACTGTGACTGTTTTCTACCTTTTGTGACTTTTCCTGAACAAAGCTCTTAGAACACAGCCCTTGTCTTTACTTAGCAAGTGCAATAAGACAAGAATCTATAAGATAGGAATTTTGTCCACTCTTCATATTTATTTATTTACATGTATTGTTTTCATCATGTTTTAATGTTTATCACATCTCATAATGAAAAACTGTACTGAGGACTAATGTTGTATTATGATGGCTTTCACATAAAAAATAAACTTCAACTAAGTAGAATTGCAGAAATGGGCCTGTGTAATATTTGATACACATAGAAAAGTTAATTTCTGTAAATATACCCTATGGTAATAACACTTGGAGATGGCTTGAATTGGTAATGAAGAAAACTTTAATATAAGTTTAACATAACAGCAAATGTACAGTGTTTTGACAAGTTTTTATCATTATCAGGTACAAGGAGTTTACACTGACACAGATATATACACAGTATGGAACAAGGAGGTCACATGACCGGATATTGTTGCAGACTTAGAAGAGATATCTTGGCACCCGAGGTTGTTGTTTTAGAGTAGGGTTGTTTTGTTCAATTAAGATGGGTTTGTTTATGTTTGGTTCTTTGTTTAAATTACTGTGTTTTTAATAGATATACTATGGTTTTTTTTTAGTTGCAATAGTGGAAAACATGAGATGTTTTTTTTATTGTGTTCAGTGAATCTGGTTTCCAATTTTCTTCCTGTTTCTCCAATGTAGAATTCTGGGCAGTTAT